CTCGCCCCCGAGACGGCCAGTCTCTCCAGCGATCCGCTGCCTCTCACCATCCACCCATTGAGCAAAAACTTCGGCCAACATCCCACAGTGCTCTGGGCTCTTTCATCTTCTACACACCTACAAGCACCGAGTGTGAAGTTCCTCCTGGTGCTCAGTGTACAAACCCCAGTTCACACTGACACCTTATTTGCTGAAGAATACAGAGCTGATCACCATGTCCGTGACTGACATAACATCCCAGGGTATCCCAGGGTATCCCTCTCTGAATAATCATTTACTCCTGTCTGCCTCCACAATCAGGGTCTGCCCATCGCCTCCGTCCGCTGATGCCTGAGCAGAGCAGCTTTGGCCAGGATCAGCACAGACTCTCCGATCAGATCGCTTCTCTGAGATTCAGCAGAAAAAAATCTTTGCTGCTTGATTTTTCTGGATGATGGCACCTATCATTGCACCCTTCACTGTCACCTAAGGGGCGTTTGTAGTGACTGTGGACAGTGGTGTAGTTAGTAAACTACTGCAGACCTCGTGTGTGTTCGCTACATTCACTGCAATTCCGAGGTAACAGGGGTAGCAAGCACTGTAGACACTACAACTGAAGGATGTAGATTAACTTTCACAAATGGGCACCCCCTGCATCCCTCTCCTCCTCCCCACTGAGAGCTGGTGTGTGGTGAATGGACTGGCGCATCATCCAGGTGGAGCTGCACACTGGTGGTGGTGGAGGGGATCCCCATTACCTGTATAGAGCTTTGAGTGGAGTGTCCAGAAAAGGGCTATATAAGTGTAAGCCATTATTTATTATAAAATGAGAAACACTGAGACAAAAGGGGTTACATGTGAGAAAAACTGAGGTGTTTAAGTGGAGACATCATTTGCATCTTTATTTACATCTTCTTGATGATGTGGAGAAGGAACTGGAAAAGCAAACAAAATGCTGGGATACAGTGTGAAAAGTGTAGAATATAAATCAATGTTGTATTAAAATTGTATAACGCACTAGTATGGCCTCATTTAGATTGTTGTAGACTGCACTGGTCACCACCTTACAGAGAAGACATTGCTGCTCTGTGAAGTTGCCCTCCTACAAACACTGAAACTCACCACATTCGTTTGTGCTCGGCTGTGCTGTTGAAAGTAGTATCTGTGCTGCTTTCGTTCCAGAGACAAAGCACCTTCTTTTTCTAGCAATCACATGGCTCTGTGACATTGACCTCCTACAAATACACAGAGCTCATGATCTGCAGATCATTCAGTTATGATCTTTGGATCAGCTGAAACCAGCCTTTAGTGTTTAATTGAGTTCTGAGATATCACCTGGACCTTCAGCTGAGACCTTTTCTTGCGAATCAGGTTACTTTCTAGCACACTCTAGTCTGAAGGGAGTGTCCCACACTGACAGGCTGAAGGAGCTGAGTCTCTTTAGTTTGAAGGGAGTGTCCCACACTGACAGGCTGAAGGAACTGAATCTCTTCAGTCTGAAGGGAGTGTCCCACACTGACAGGCTGAAGGAACTGAGTCTCTTTAGTCTGAAGGGAGTGTCCCACACTGACAGGCTGAAGGAACTGATTCTCTTCAGTTTGAAGGGAGTGACCCACACTGACAGACTGAAGGAGCTGAGTCTCTTTAGTTTGAAGGGAGTGTCCCACACTGACAGGCTGAAGGAACTGAGTCTCTTTAGTCTTTAAAACAGAAGACTATAAGGTAACCTTAGACAAGTATTCAGAGGACACAATGTGCACTATTTGCAAGTGCATGTAAAATTGAGAATGGGAGGCACTTCTTTACACAAAGGGTGGTGGGAGAGTGCAGCACACTAACTATCCATGATGTAGATGCAAAAACCCAGGCTTCTTTCAAGAAACATCTGGATGAGATCCTGAGATCAAGCAGTTACTAACAACCAAAAGCGCTGGACGGACCGAACAGCCTCCTCTCATGTGCAAACTTTATATTCTTCTGCCAGTCCACTCCTCCAGAGCAACACTCTGTCGGTTCGGTCAGAAGCCTTACTTCATCAAACCCACAAACCCGGCTGGACTGACGCCCTGGGCGAGCGGACTTCGAGAGCCCTTTAATAAAATTATTTTATTTAATAAAAACGTGTCGATGAGGCCACAATCCGTCACTCAGCCTGTCCTTCCGCTACTGGCCACCAGAGGGAGACACCACACCGTTTTTTTTTCGGTCCTCCCGCAGTCCGAGGCGCGCTGCGAGTCCACGCGCGTGTCGGTGTGTGGCTGCACTGGAGTGAGTCTGACGGACAGCCAGGACAAAAGCATTCCTCGCGTTCATCCCTCAGACTCACCTGCCTGCCCGCCCCCCCGTCTCACCCTGGTGTGAACAGTGTGCACGCAGGAGCCCCGCCGGTCAGCCCCAGAGCTCCGCGGACGCGTCTCCAGAGCACCCAGCACAGCCAGATCCCGGCCCGCGGCTCCATGGCTGCAGGGTCGGGGTCACTGTTAGGGTCAGGTAGGGGTCGGGGTCACTGTCAGGGTAGGGGGTCACTGTGAGGGTAGGGGGTCAGGGTCATGGTAGGGGTCAGGTTCAAGGTCAGGGACACACACACACACTGACACACACAGCCCCACCCCTGCACTGACACACACACACAGACACACACGCTGAGGCAGTGGCAGAGCTGGACCGCTTCAGCCCGGGAGCGGGGCTACATGAGCAGCTGGCCCGGGACCGACAGCGCGCTCCTGGGGGCCTCCTTGTCGCCCAGCCTGACGACTGCTCTCTGTGGACAGGGACCCACGGCTCGTGGACAGGCTATTCCTCGCAGGAAGTGGCACGAACTGCAGGGCGTTGGCAGGTAACCGAGGCGAACCGGGGCGCCACAGGTCCGAACCGGAGCGTTTGGACCCGAGCGCTGCTTGGCGGACAGCGCGCTCACCCCGCCTCACCTCACCTGGAGCCCTGCCGCGAGAGGTGCGCGCGCCTGCCGGCCTGGACCGGGGTCTCCAGCCCTGGTCCTGGTCTCCTGCTCTCAGTTTCTCCCGAAAATGTTTCCACAGCGCGCAGCGGGGGCCGCTTGCTGCTCTCCCGCGGGCTCTGGTCCGAGGGGCTCTGCGCCCCGCCGGGCATGCGCGCTCGAGGGCCGACACGAGCTGGGGTACCCCCCCGCCACTCCTCACCCTCAGTGTGGGCGCTCGAGCCCCCAGTGCTCGAGGGCCACGCTCTGCCTCACGCGCGCACATTGCCGATGACCGGCGCTCCTGTACCGCGGGGCGGCCGGCGCCCGGGGTGGCAAACAGCGCTGCTGTTGGTTTTAGACTCGGCGGAATCTGGGCTTTCCCAGTCGGCCCCCACCGTCTGCCCTTCCAGTGTGTGTTCAGTCTTCGGGGAGGCCGGTGTCGCTTTCAGCCCCGACCAGGAGCTGTGTGGGCCCGTGCGTGTGGCTGATCCGAGCCAGGACTCAGCCGAGGGTCACAGGCCAACGGCCGGCGAGGAGCGGCCGGACCTCCGGCACACGCCTCGCAGCGCCGGGTCTGTCCCGGGACGGGGGTCTGTCCCGGCACTCGAGCGCTGGGGGTTGAGAGTCGAGCTTCACGGATAGTGAGCACTTTATCGGCTCTTGGAGGAAGCGCATCGCCTGTCCAGTATGAAAGTCACATATAGCGATAACAGCCGTATCTGTTTGTTTTAAACACTGGTCTGTACGGAGTCCATAGCAAACTGCGACTGGAGATAAAATGCTTTGCCACTGAATTGGTAACGAGGCTGTCTACCCCAATAATACCTGCCGGCAGCATCCCGCAGAGCTGGGGAACCTTCTGCCGCAGCCGCCCAGCGGCCCGACAGCCGGGCCCAGCCGCCCGGGTTTCCCGTGGGTCACAGGAGCGACCCGGTGACCCGCCGCCGAGACGGAGCGAGGGAGAGGGAGAGGGAGAGAGAGGGATTGGGAAAGAGGGAGGGAGGGAGAGAGGTGGGTGCTTACTCGTCATCGGAATTATGCGGTTTTTCGTTTCAATGCGTCAACCATCTGTAAGATATTTGACAGACTGAATCACTGACAGAGAAAGAGAGAGAGAGGAATAAAACTTTCTCCCCTCTCCCTCCCCCTCTCCCTCCCTCTCTCCCCCGTGTGTTAGATTATAAAGCGCGGAGCGCAGTTGAACTCATCAAGTCCGACTCTCGGGTCCTGAGAGGCAGAGAGAGACGGAGCGAGGAGGCGCGAGAGGCTGAGCGAGCCGCACTCACCGCTGTCCAGCCCCCCCCGCACCCCCCTCACCGGGAACAAGCGCACGCGACCCCCCGCGCGCCGCACCGGGACCTCAGCGCGACCCGTCCCGGAGACAGCGGCACGAGCGGGCCCGAGTTTTCTCGAATTCTGTAATAAGAATAAAACTCCGGCGGACCTGCGAAAAGCCGCTGTTTGCGACGGAGTGCGAGATGAGAATTTCTGGAGGTGAGTTACTCGTTAAAGGTGCTCGTATAGTTACAGCGCTGCAACAAGTGAAAGTGTTTCATCCAGTTCCTGTCGTTAATCGCGCTATAGCGTGTCTGCGAGAAAACGTGCGTGCTGCTCTCGTCTGGTGTTTGGGAATTGACAGAGAACCCACTTAGTCCGACAGTCCTGCATTTCTTTCAAGGAAAACTTGCCAATCCCTATGTCAGTCTGACATTGTGCCATGCCGTCCGTCTGTCATGCTGTCAGCGT